ACGTTGGTCAGGAATCTCCTGTAAAAGCAGAAAATAAAAATCAGGAGCAGGAGTAGATCATTCAGCTCCTCGAGTCACCTTCACCATTTTAGATTATGGCAGATTCTCTACCACAGTGCCACGTCCTTGAATTATCTATCCCCACATCCCTTGATATATTAATAACTAGCAATCTGTTGATCAGCTGTGTTGAACATATTCAAACACTGAGCATCCCCAGCTCTCTCTTGGATTGAGAATTCCAAAGATTCACATCATTTAGGTGAAGAAATTCCTCCTCATCTCAGTCTGAAAAGGCCTGCCTTTTGTTCTGAAACTGTGTTCCCTGTTTCTAGACTTCCAGCCAGGGGGTCCATCATTTCTACATAGACCCTGTATATTCTTTTAAACCTTTCAAAGTTCCTGTGAGATCACCCCCTCATGCTTCTAATCCTGTCGTGAACACAGGGCCAGTTTCCTCAATGTTTCCTCATCGGAATGTCCCACCATTCCAGAGATCATTTTAGAGAATCTTTGCTACACTATGGCAACAATATCTTTCTTGAGAGGAGACCAAAGTAGCACACAGTAGTCCAGGTGCAGTCTAACCAAACTTCCATATAATTGAGGCAACACTTCAATACTCCTGTGCTCAAATCCTTTTGTGATAAAAGCTAACATTCCATTAACCTTCTTAATAGCTTGCTGCCCCTTAATGTTAGCCTTCAGTGATTCATTGACAAGAGCACACAGCTCCCCATGTACATCTACATTTTCCAACCTCTCATCACCTAGGAAATATTCTGCTCGGCTGCTCCTACTATAAAAGTGGGTAATCTTACATTTTGCAACATTATATTCCATCTGCCATGTTCTTGCCATTGCAGGAAGTCTGTCCAAATCCTCCTGAAACCATTTAATACCTTACTCAAAATACACATTCCTTCTTAGCTTTGGATCATCAGCAAATTTGGAAACATCACATTTAATGCCCTGTCACATTCCTGCTGATGTGAGAATGACCCACTTATAACCACTCCCTGTTTTCTGGTTTTCTTCTAGCAGCATAAGTGCTACCAACTTCTTTCCAATACCTCACACTCACTATCTCTGTACTATACCCACCTTCCACCAAGGCTCATGCACTACCACTCTCATCATTGCCTGCAAAATCTTCCTTCACTGTCTGTCGCCCACCATAACCTTTGACACCACTAACCCTGCATACTCTCTGTGCTGCCTACTCACTTGCTCCAGACACTTTCCCACCTGCACCAACAGTACAAATCCAAGATGGTGGCAGAGTAGGACACTACAACCAAAGCTCGCCCGTTCCGTCCATTTCTTTACCTTTATTTCCTTTCTTTTGTTTCTCTTTTATGTTTTCTTTTCTCAATCTTCTTTCTTCTGAACTCCTGGCCTCGGTGTAGACTCAACATGACGGTCTCCCGCCTGGTGTGGCGGTTTTCTTTATTTTTCTAATTTCTTTTCTAAGAACTTGAACTGAAGAATCAGTACCTTGGCACCTTGTACCTAAGATGGCCATTTGTAAACTTTTCACTGTACTCATTTGAGTGTATGTGACAATAAAGCTAATTCAATTCAATTCAGAAACAGCTGTGACACTCACTTTCCTCTTCCGTAATACCAGCCTTTTCACAATCCAGGGGGAAAACAGGCCACGATAGAGAAGGAGTGAGCTGCCCAACATTTGCCTCCTCACCTCTTTGTGGAGAACTTCCCAACTCTGACTGCCAGAAGCAGCTGCCTGGTGTCCAAGCCCCTGAGTGAAGGCTATTTCCCTTCACATGACTGAGGTCTGCTGATGACTATGCCCAGCTTCCTGCTTATGGGGAGAATTGCACAGGGGTCTGACTGATGTGAGCTATGTCGAGATGTGTAGCAGAATCAAACAAAAAGTCCGATGTCTATCTGGGTGACAGAAGCATCTTGCTCCATCCTGAATACTTTTTACAAGCCTTGAGGTGAGTTTATCACTAGGCAGTCATGAGTTGCAAATTAAAAGGGATTATTGCTTGTTAAATGTCTTAAACGTAGCTGCACTTTGCAATCGATTGCTTGATTTATCATTGTAATGTTGTAGCATCCAGCAAACTTACACTGTCCCATTGTCGCTTATGTTGACTCAGCCATTTTCTAGTAGCACTTTGCATCTAAAGAGTGACACCTCACCATCCTGACTTGGAAATATATCACCTCTCCTTCACTGTCGCTGGATCAAAAGCCTGGTATTCCCTCCCTAAAGGCATTGTATATCTACCTACAGTGATGGACTGCAGTGATTGAAGAAGGCAGCTCACCATCACATTCTTACGAGCAACTAGGGATGGGCAATAAATGCTGGCTAGCCAGCGATGACCACATCCTATGAGTGAATTAAAAGGAAAGGCTCCCAGGATTGTATGGTGGCACTGTTGACAACATGAAAACAGACCCTTCGGTCCAACTAGTCCATGCCGAATGTAATCCCCAAACTAAACTAGTCCCATTTGCCTGCTCCTTCGTCCCAGAGTTTGACACAATTGGTAAGATAGGATGCTGAACATTAATAAAGTGAGTTCGGCCATTGTGTTACCGGGTACCTGCTCTGATTTCCAGGATTCTTGGCATCTAGCTTGTTTGATGTGTTTGATATGATGGGAAGCTGAAAATTAATGAGGTGAGTTCATAGAATCCCTGCAGTGTGGAACAGGCCCTTCAGCCCAACAAGTCCACATGGAGCATCTGACCCAGACCCATCTTCCTATAACCCACCTAAACTACACATCCCTGAACACTACGGGCAATTTAGCATGGCCAATCTACCTAACCTGCACATCTTTGGACTGTGGGAGGAAACCGGAGTACTTGAAGGAAACCCACATAGACACAGGGAGAATGTGCAAACTCCACACAGACAATCACCCGAGCGTGGAATTGAACCCAGGTTCCTGGCGTTGTGAGGCAGCAGTGCTAACCACTGAGCCACCGTGCTGCCCTATAATAATTGGACCAATAATGAAGTGTTTAACAGGCAATAATCCTCCTGAATAGGAAAATTACCATTTCCTAGTGAGAAACTTGCAATGTTGCTCACGAAAAGTATAAAAGTTGGTGCCAATTGCTTCCAACGTTGAGATTGTCCTCATTGGACCTCTCGCCTGATTCTGCCATAAATCCCACCATAACCCACACTGCTCAGTCTAGATATGTGATTCTGACCAATGTAATCATTTAGCTTCGCTGTCGTTTCTCTATTGCCCATTATAATTTCTCCTGATCCTGCCTATATTGGATACATACTGATCTTAGACAAACATCTCTTTTTTACCTACTTGGAGAAACCTTTGCAGTCTGTTTTAGCTTTTAGCAAGAATTACATGAATATTTTATTCTTCCTTTATCTGTTTCTTGGTCTTTCTTTGCTGTATTCTATAAACTTCTCAATTCTTAGATTTATTACTGTTTCTGGCCACTTTGTAAACTCTTTTTTCCCATCTTATACAATCCTAAACTTCCTTTGTCAGCCATGGTTGACTAATCTTTTTTGAGATTTTTATACCTTGAAGGAATATATAGTTGTTGTAAGCCATTTACTGTTCCTTAAACTCTGCTTTTCACAGACTGCCTTTGTACAGTCCTACTTTGTAATGGATTTTTTCAATCCAGTTCAGAACTGTCTCGCTTGAGATTGAACTCACTCACTTTCAAACAAAATGTAAAATTCTATAATATTGTGGTCACTCATGCCTAGAAGTTCTTTTATGAGAAGATTATTGGTGGACTCTTTTTTTAATTACCTAATACCAGATCTAAAATAAAACGCTCTCCAGTTAGCTCCTCAGAATACTACTTTAGAAAAATGTTCCTAATACACTCCAGAAAATCACCTCCATAGTTTTACTGCTCAGTTGATTTATGCAGCCTTTGTGCAGATTGCAGAACTCTGTTCTTCGTGTTACATACTTTTCTCATCTCCTGATTTATGCCACACTATGATTAATACATGGTGGCCTATAAATAACTCCAACCAGTGTCTACTGTCCCTTGTTGTTTCTTAGTTCCATCCAAACATGTTCCACATGTAGTTCTTTCAACCTGAGATCCTCTTACTATTGTATGGATCCTAACTTGTATTATTAATCAGCTTCAATTCCCTTTCCTTCTTGTCTGTCTTTCCTAAACAGTGAATATCCTTGGATATTCAGTTCCCAGTACTGACTACCATGCAATCATGTTTCTGTAATAGCAATCTATCCTACCCATGTATCTCTATTTGTGTCTGTAGATATTATGAGAGCTGTGTGCATTGAACTTTGAACTGGGCTTTATGCTGCTGGTAGTCAATTTGGCACTTCTCTGAAAATTGAGAGAACTGCCTTTCAATGGTCAGTCAATGTTAGAATTCAGTGAAACAGGGAGAAGCGAACACATTGGACACGAAGGGTAATGTCTGCCTGGTTCCTATCGAAACTATAATTCTGTAAATAGTGAGAGTGAAGTATAAGTCTTGCATGGAGCTTCCAGTCATGGGACAAAGTTAAAGGAGGAATATCTTTTTTGCAGTTTAAGTTACTAGCTTCCTTCTAATAATGGCTCAGATCTTCCAGAGAGCGACAATCATTGTCGAACAGCCAGTCTAGTGAAACTCTTCCTGCGCTAATGCTGTTCTGAATTTCTTGCTGGAGCTTATGACCTGTTTTTTTTCAGAAATGTAGAGTGCACTGTTCCTTGGAAAGCTCCGTTGCAATACTGTATCATCTGGAAGAAGTCAGGACTTCCCTCTTTTCATGGCAGCAGCTGCCTAATCATAAGTTTAAAGTTTCCATATGAATGTTCATGAATGAGTGATTGGATGAGTGGTAGTGAATGGTTAGCCTAGATGGAAACTCAGAGTCAGTGACATGTCTCTCTGGTCTGGGGAGCATCCGGTATTAGTTCTCACAGAAATCAGTACACGGAAACCCTGTAAAAACCCCATATCTCTGGTGTCCAACAATCAAATAATAGGAACATTTGGGTTGTTCTTTACTCAATGTTACTTTTAGTTTGTTTGATACACTGAAAGCATTAAAATATGCCTTGCAAGTCAGTCACTGGAAATCTAGATATCTTCTTAAAGACTGGTGGTTTTCTATGGATCACAACATTTTATAATCTCCAGATCCAGCATGAGAGCCTTTTTTGCCAGGGCAGACTTCCTTATAATCTGTGTTGGCAAGATGCATTTTTACCTCCTCCAGTGGGTGATATCTGAATGTAGCAGCGACCTCTTCCTATTTGGGCTCTCTCCCAGGCACTATGCACCAGGTTCTTCTGCAAGGAGAATAGAGACAGATCAGCCACAGCTATCCTCTACAGCTACTGCCTGTCATTTATAGTCATCAGCAGCTCCATATTAGTATTGGTGGGTATTCAGCTCAAGCCACCCAAAGAGTCATCAAATGTTACGGCAATGGACTCCTCCAAAGCATGTCCAAGGCAGCTTATTCCTTGAGATTCCTAGTATATTTCCTTTACAACATCTCAATGCGTACTCCAAGGGAGCCACTAACTCTACTCTTCATTCACAGAGGTTGGCACTGATTGAACACCAGCCTCAAAACATCATCATGGCCAATCTCAGACTAACTCAGAAGACATTTCAAACACTTCAGTGCTGCGCTTTTGGAATTCACCGACACCTTACATTGCAATGCTCCTCTGAGGCTGTTCTGTACATAAGGACATACACATTTCAAGCATGAGAATAAGCTGTGTCTCTGGTCGTTAGCCTGCTTTCTTCACACTCTATCAATATGTACTTACTTGGATGCTCACAGCATCTCTACCTTGCTCTTTTTAAACCACACTGCCACTTCATTCAGATCTCAGAGGGTCACAACATCTGAGTTGACTTGATTCTGAGCACAGACAAAGAAATACAGCTTGTCATGTTTGATTGCACTGAATAGTCAAAGTGGTGAACATGTTACTGTATCGTACTATGCTATATCAATGTTACATACACAGCAAGCACCAGCAGTTTCCACAACAAACGCACTGCATATGCTTCAAACTATTGGCCACGTCTGAAAGTCTAAATGGGGTAGTCTTTCATCAAGTGAAGGGGACTATGGTTCATTAGGGGGTTCCACCATACTTTTGTCAAGGGTATCACCCAATCTCAGTTCAGGGGGTTGGACAAACTCAATGTGTCACTCGCTGCAGTCAAGGTCCAGGGATCCATGTACTTGCATTCTGGGGAATTAGGCCACAGCCAGTCCTGCAGGTCAAGACAAACCAGTCCAGGAATTGCAGGTAAATCTGTCGGGGTGCTGTGGGTTATTATTCTGGGCCATGGTCTATTGGGCCTGTCTTCACACGTCAGTCTGGAGTTGGGAAGCCACAGTCAGTCTTGGTAGTTTCAGCAGAAAACGTCAAGTGGGGTTCCGAGGGTGGGGGTGGGGTTGCAGTCCATGGGGTGGAAAATGAGAAACTGAATTGTATGGATGAATTGCATTATGCTGTGACACACAGGGGATAACAAATATGAAGGGGGCCAGTCCAAACATAAGTGGGGGGGGGG